GCTCTAACCACTGGACCCCACTCCCCTCCTAGAGCCAGGGAGAGAACCCAGGAGTCCTGACTCCCAGCCACCCCTCCCACAATTGGGCTGATAAATCTTCCTTCTGGCCGGGGCTGCAGGGTGCTGCTTCTGCAGAGGACAATGCCTCTGCTGGCCTGAGCCACCCCAGCCAGTGGGCAGGTGAAATAAGGAGAGCATTGTGTGAGTCACAGCAACAAAACCAGATCAGGATCCACCGAGCTCGGAGCCTTTTTCACCCGAAACCCACAATGGGAAGCATTCTCCAACCCAGGGCAGGTGGCACCTGCTTTTGCGACACCTTTCTTTTTGATTCCCTGGCACGGGTACCTCCTGTGAGGATCACCCCCCCCTTGCCATCTTATTTCTGGCGTAAGAAGACCCCTCTCAAAACAACCCTTTCCCCTCCCCTAGCCCCAGCAGAAGGATTTATAAGAAAACTGATGGGTGTTCTGGAAGGGGACCCAGAAGATGGAGAGGAGTGATGCGTGAATGTCTCCGGATGCTTCAGTTTGCCCACCTGTCAAATGGGTTAAAATAGCCTCTGGCTATTTAGGTGGTCAGATTCGGGGTAGGAACCGTCTCTTACTGTCTATATGTACGATGACTGGGCATGATCAGGCACGGCTTTCAGTTGGGGTCTGTTTGTTATCACTTATAATCACTTAACATCTATATTTCTGTAGTTAATAAACTTTTTTTTTGCTTTATCTAAACCAATGTGCCTTTAAGTGAAGTGTCTGGGGAAAAATCTCAGCTTGGTACCACAGGCTTGTTGCATATTCCTCTCCACATTGAAGGCGGGACGAACTATTTATGAGCTTACTGTGACGTTGCACTCTATATGATTTTATAAAAATATGCTAATAAGTTTAAATGTAATGTAACTGGAATATGCTTCATGCAAAAGGTCTCTTGTAAGGTATCATTACAAAGCTTATAATCCACTGAGTGTGGTCATCCTATTTGTATAAATGTACCACTCTTGTATCTGAAACTAGAAATATGAAATATAACTCTGAGGGCCTATTGTAATTATGCAAAGTATGGGCCATTAATGGTGGTTTGGAATCTTGATGGCTCCCATTAACCAGGACAATTGTCTGCAGATGGCTCTGTTTACTTGTAAGTCTTCCTGTATACATGTGTGCTGGCAAGTGGGTAATAAAGTCTTACAGTGACATGTGATCATTTCACCTGAACTGGAATCCATCTTTAACCTGGTGCTTTTTCATTGGGGGGGTGGGAAAACTCAGGGCAGGTTTTAGCCCATGGAAGCTTATGCTCAGATAAATTTGTTAGTCTCTAAGGTGCCAGAAGTACTCCTGTTCTTCTTAGAACAATGCTAACCCTCCCTTCACAACCCACCGAATGTCTGTAAGTACTCATCCCCACCCCCCACCCAGTGGTGAGCTGAAGCCGGTTTGCACCGGTTCGCGCGAACCGGTTGTTAAATTTTGAAGCGGTTTTAGAACTGGTTGTTAACCTGCTTCCCTACGAGGAGGGGGCTCTGTGGCTTTGATGGGCTCCAGCCGGGAAGTGATGTAATTCCTCCTCCGGCCGCCGGGGGCGCTGCACTGCAGGAGCCATGTGTGCCGCTGCCTGGCCCTGAGCACGGGCCCTGTTGCTGCTGCTGCTCCCCCGACCCCTGGCCCTGGCCCTGGGGCTCCGACTGCTGCCTGGTGGGTCCCCGGCTGCTCTGCCGGGCCTGGGCTGCGTCCTGCTGCTCGGGCTGCTCCAAGCCGCTCTCCCTGTGAGTACCCGCCACCCTGCCCGCAGCCAGCCCCTGTCTCCAGCCAGCTCCTGCCGCACCCCCTGCCCTGCCCGCAGCCAGGCCCTGCCGCACCCCCTGCCCTGTCTCCAGCCAGCCCCTGCCGCACCCCCCTGCGGCCCTGCCCGAAGCCAGCCAGCCCCACACCCCCCGTCTCCAGCCAACCCCGCAGCCTCCTGTCTCCAGCCAGCCCTGCACCCCCTGCCTCCAACTAGCCCTGCCCCACGCCCCTGTCTGCAGCTGGCCCCACGTCCATTGGTGCCCTGCAGTTCCCAGGGCAGTAACCCTGCACACCTGCTTCAATGAGGGGGGCAGGGAGCAGCTGGGACCCACACATGTGCACACCCTAAGGTGACCAGACAGCAAGTGTGAAAAATCGGGCAGGGGGTGGGGGGTAATAGGATCCTATATAAGAAAAAGACCCCAAAATTGGGACTGTCCCTATAAAATTGGGACGTCTGGTCACCCTAGCACACCCCCAGGGAGTGGCGGGGACCCACACATGTGAAACGGAGCTTATTTCTAGTTCAGGCCCATCTTTTTAAAAAAGAACTTTAGGCAGGGTTAACATACATCCGTATTTTCCCGGACACGTCAGGCTTTTTGGTTCTTAAATTGCCGTCCGGGAGGAATTTTTTAAATTTTAAAAATTCCTCCCGGGAAAATACGGACGTATGGTAACCCTATTGGTACAAAAAATACATACTGTGGCACATCCCTTAAATCAGAACTTTTTATAGGGAACCGGTTGCTAAGATTTTGGCAGCTCATCACTGCCCCCACCCTGCCTCCTTCCCCTGCAAGGTAGCCATAGATGTTTGATGCAATTAGGATGACCTCTATATGTACGTACTGTTCTTATTTTTATCTTTGTTCAGGATTCTTTCTTGACCTGTAACGATGTCTGTCTCTGTATGTACAGATAAATGCAAATGAATTGATAAGAGCATGTATATAACTGGCCACGGTGGCACCATATTTTTGAAGCTGCTTGTCAGTCTTCCCGGTACTGTGAATAAACCCCCTTCAGCATTGTCTGTGCTTGCCTGATTCTTGGGGAAAAGAACCTCTTTGCCCGACCATAAGAATAGGAAGTTGTTCATGCAACTGGGATCCATCCTACTCCGACTATGCACTTCCTCTTCCTGTTGATTGACTCTGGTTATTGATCTGTGGTTCCCCTCTTAAGCTTGTCTCCTGCCTCTGACCTCCCGGTGTCTGACCTGGCCTTTTCCCCAACTCCTGCTTTGACCAACAGGTCAGACTGTCTATGTCCCGGCTGTGACATCAATCTATATAGCTTAAAGGTTAAAAGGTGACTGGATCACAGTCTATAAGTATCTACATGGGGAACAAATATTTAATAATGGGCTCTTCGGTCTAGCAGAGCAGGATATAATATGATTGAATGGCTGGATGTTGAAGCTAGACAAATTCAAATGGGAAATAACGCACACAATTTTGACGGTGGAGGTAGTTTAACCATTGGAACAACTTACCAAGGGCATGATGGATTCTCCATCACTGACCATTTTTAAATCAAGAGTGGATGTTTTTCTAATAAATCTGCTCTAGGAATTATTGTGGGGAAGTTCTCTTGCCTGTGTGATACAGGAGATCAGACTAGATGATCGCAACAGTCCCTTCTGGGCTTGGAGGCTCTGAAAGTACTTCACTAAGGAAATGCACAGATACAAAATCGGGAATAATTGGCTAGCTTTTCACCAATTGAATGAGTCAACATTGTGATGCAATTGCATAAAAGGCTAAGATTCTGACGCGTATCAACAGGAGCTTTGAATGTAAGATGTGAGAGAGAATTGTTCCACTCTACTCTGCACTGCGGAGGCCTCAGCCGGAGTCTTCTGTCCAGTTCTGGGTGCCACACTTCGGGAAAGATGTGGATAAATTGGAGAGAATCCAGAGGAGAGCAACAAAAATGATTAAGGGCTTAAAAAACCCGACCTACGAGGAAAGGTTAAAAAACTGGGCATGTTTAGAAAAGGAGACTGACATGGGTGGCAGGTGAAGCTAGCCCCCTGCCCTGTCTCTTCTGGTGGAGGCCCCTCCCCATTGCTCTGGCTGGTGGGGGGTGGGGCTGAGAGTTTGGCCCCTCCCCCATGGCTGGGGGCCGCAGTGGCAGAGCTCTGAGCCCGGAGCCCTTCCCCAATTCTGCCCCCTTCACCTGCAGCCCCAACCCTTTCTCCCCTTCCCCCACGCACGGCCTCACCCCATTCCACCCCTTCCCCCATAGCCCCACCCTCATTCCACCCCCACTCTACCTCTTGCTCCCAAGGTGCCACCCCCTGCTCGATCCTTTCCACCCCCTTACCCCCACTGCGGCCCCAAGACTGGAAAAGCTCTGTGCTCCTGCTGCAGCCCTGGGACTGGGGGCGGAGGAGCGAGAGCTCCTCCAGCCCCAGGGCCATGGCGGGGGGACATTTTGCCACAGGCTGCAAATTGGCTCGTCACCCAACAAAATAACTGGTGGCAACACTTTTAACAGAAAAATACTCCCTGTATCATGCATCCATCAGCATTCTTAAAAATCAATGTGGATTTCTGTGACAGACACCCATTGGCGGTTCACTACTCCATCAGGCCTAACACACTCACTGCACCTAGCACACTGCTGTCAGATGAAAGCTGGCAACACACCAGTCATTAATATTACTGTGTGATGTGTGGGTGGACGGTGCATGAAGAGTTACGTGTGTGTGCAGGAAATATGTCCTAACATGTTTTGAAGGCAGAAGTGATAAACGAATTTGTCCTAGACAAAGGAATGTTGATTTGCCTGTTTGCCTAAGTCTCACATGGAAACCGAGCAGGTTGAGATAATGGGCAGGTCATTTGCATCTGAGGTAAACAACAATAACCAGGAGGATGAGGAAAGAGTCTGGCATTAGCACAGCGGTGTCTGAACCCCAGGGGGCCAGCCTGACTCTTGAGCCAAAGACAATGAACTTTGGGAAATACAAGGAGAAGCAAAAGGGCATCGTGTTATCACAAAGTCAGTTATTCCTTTAAAGGGAATAAATACACAACAGCTTATTACCTTAAATAGTTACCCACATGCTTTTTAAATACACACTGGATTAGATAAAACAATGAAACAAGTTTATTAACTACAAACAGATAGATTAAATGAGTACAAGGAATGAGGCATAAAAGTCATAAGTGGTTACAAGAAAAATAAAGATTAAATGTTTTCTTGTGCCTAGCTTACCAAACTACCTGTATAGTAGATTCAAGCAAAGTTTCTTACCACGTTTCTAGCAGCATTTCTGACCCAACTCTTCAGGTCAGGACCCCTCCTGCAGAGCCCAATGGTGGTTTCCTTTGACTTCTAAGGTGCAGAGAATGAGGTGGGGAAGGAGAGAGAGAGAAAAGAGGGTCTTGGGATATCTTCCTCTTTTTTATATAGTTTTTTTAGTCCCTTTTTGTAAAGCATTTCCATCTGAGAACGAGGAAACAGGCAGTTTGCTGGAGGAAGGAGACTCTAGGCTGTTTCTTTGTTAATATGCAGACCTCTGTCCCTGCCTCCCTTCCTTGCCAAAGATTGGTCACTTGGTAGGTGATTGTCCATCAGCTTTGTTGACACCTGGCTTGCCCTTTGTCTTTGAGAAACCGATTTAACCACTCCCCAGACTTACCTGGGAAATGCACGTCAGTCACAATTTTTATGTTCATAACTTTACATATAATAATACTATATGCACTTTACCATGATATTCCTGAGCAGCAAGTTATGAGTGTTCACCTTGTACAAAGAATATTACAATAGTGTGTAAGGGTGTATTCCATCACAGTGGGTAATGCTAAAAGGTTTCTTTAGTTAGAAACTTATTTTAGTCAAGGATTTTAGCTTGTTAAAGTTTTAGTCACTTAGAAGCATGTTATGCTTTTGTTTGATTTGTAACCATTGCTGTCTCTATTATTCTTGCTTAGTATCCCTTAAATTTCTGTCCTCGGTTAATAATCTTCTTTGTTTTATCATAAGCATGTCAGTGCTATTATATTAAACATAGTATGAATTCCTGCTTAAGTCACGCAAACTGGTAGTACACTCTCTCTAGAGACAGCGAACTTGGTAATTGCGACAGTGCCCAGGGGTTGGAGGCTGCAGGGAGATGCTTCTGGAGAGTTTGGGGACTGAAGTACAAGGGTTAACCTGCCAGGCAAAATTAGGACTGGTGGCATCCTGTGGAATCTATGGGGCTGGCTACCAAACTGGAGTGGCAAGGAGTTGTCACTTTGGTTAGCACCACCAGACGCAGAGGGGTGACTTACAGTTCTGGACACCCTGAGAAAGCATCACATCTCATGACAGATGTCATGTCTTTGCTTTGCAAACAAGAGAAGTAGGGCACTCAATGACCCTTAGGGCTGGTCTACACTGGGGGGAGGGGGGGAATCGATCTAAGATATGCAACTTCAGCTATGAGAATAGCGTAGCTGAAGTCGACGTATCTTAGATCGACTTACCTCCCGTCCTCACGGCGCGGGATCAACGGCTGCAGCTCCCCCGTCGACTCCGCTTCCGCCTCTCGCTCTGGTGGAGCTCCGGAGTCGACGGGGAGCGCGTTCAGGGATCGATTTATCGCGTCTAGACAAGACGTGATAAATCGATCCCCGATAGATCGATTACTACCCGCCGATCCGGCGGGTAGTGAAGATGTACCCTTACAGACTAACTGGGTAAAAGATTACACTACTTGTCTCTTTAAGCAATTTCCACTTAACAGAAAATTTGCTTTGGAGCTTGTCGAAATAAATTCCATCTGAAGTAAAACACTGGGTCAGTACTCTCATATACACTATTTCTCTCTCGTATCCCCCCACTCCAACCTTTGAAGTGAGGTTTTTCTTCAAAACTCATTAGTCCAAAGGATGTATCTTACATCAAATATACTTTAAAAGATTAGTCACCATTTCCTATACTAAACGAGAACCAGTGTAAAATCGCAGTGTTCCAGTATAATTCATGTTATCACAAAATTAGTGTCTTACTCTTTAACCAATAATGTTCAATTTCATTTCCATTGGTAACAATAACATATTCAAAGATTGCAAAATCTTATATGTGTTAGTTTTCTCTTAATTCCCAGTTCTATCAAGTGAGTCTCATGTAAAGTTGCATTCTGAGTCAACATAGGTGTCTTCCACTTCTTTGAATTCGTTTCTCTCTTGGTCTTCTGCTATAAATGTTGGTGAAAGGGGTCTCACACTATGTGGGAAGGTCTGCATCATGAGAACAAGCACCTCTACTCTATTTTCACACTTTCTAATCTTTCAAATTAGCAGGACGTGAAGAAGTAGTGATGCCAATGCATAAAGCACAAGGGCAAAACTAAGAGACAAAAGCCGAGAATCCACATTTATGTATCTGTCTGTCTGCACTTGGAATCTAACCCATCCATTCCCTCAGTGATTATCATCACTTACACAGCATGAAAGTCCTTGTTGTCCACCAATGGAGTCAGACTAGGATCCATGAGGAAGGAATGTCCTTTGAAGGCACTAACTGCTTCTTTCTTTGCCTTTTGGTAAAGGACAACTGTTCCCAGTTTATCTATGGCATCCTCAGGGACCTTACTCAATGCCATTAACCTAGGGAGGGGTGTTCTAAACACAGTTTTACCTGGGCCACCACAGAGTCCTTCTCTGGGGTGAAAACCAACCGGTGGTACCTGCTATTACTGAGTGCTTGCCAAATCCTTGGCCTTGGTCAGGGTAAATTTACACTTCTCTGGAGTAGAATCCTTTACCAAACCACCCAAAATCTCAGCAGTGTTACTGAGGAAAAGCTTCCCCAAACATGTACAATTTGTTTCTTTAATCTGGTGGCACAGGTCTAAATTAGGGACTGCATCAGAATCCCTGCAAGCCACCAAAAGTGGGGTATCTATTCAAAAATCACTATTCCGCAACTACCCCACATTCAACACTGAGTTCATTTTATACACATCTGCAACACATACAAAGGGTAAGTTCAGCAAAAATGCCACTTCCATTTCCTCCACATCTACACAGATGGGGACAGTGTTTCCCAAAACATAGGCAACATGCACCTGATTAGGAAGGAAATATCTTCCTAATGTGAAGGGCCTGGGCCTCAACTACTTTGGGAACCAAATAAACGGTTATTTTCCCTAGCTCTAAGTCACTTACTCTGGAATTCTCTTCCCAGACCATCGGCAATGATACCGCCGTAACCAGCTGAACATGGGTGTGATTGTAGTCAGTTACTTCAGTTAGTTGCACAGATTGGGGTGTGCTGTTATTTACCATCTCGGAGTGGAGATTTTCAAACACTACTGTTTCCATGGTAGCATGTCCAATAGGTTGAAGCATGACCTCTCCTGATGACTGAACTGCACGTGAACTTCCCCCATGGACCACGTCATCATGGAGGGGCAAGGAAAAAACAAAAATAAATAAATGACTATTTTAGCAAATGGTCATTTGTCTCGAAGTCTCCACTAAATCCGAGCTACATTCTACTTAACAAAACTGCTATCCAGTTATGTGATTAAATGGCCTTCAGGAAAGAGAGAGAAACCGACAATACCGAGGGGGATAAAACACTTTCAGTTTCATATAAACTGAAATTGCAGAGCAGGCTACATCTGATGACTCAGAATCAGGACAACAGATTCTCCCATTGTGTTGTCCTCTGATCCGTTCAAATGTGCTTCACTCAGCGCCATCTCATTATTTTTGAATCAGGTTATTTACAAACGTTTTAGCATCATCGTAATGGAGAAAAACAGCCAAACTTCCCATCAGCAACGCTCCCAGCTGAGCCGGAAAAAGCCCAGAAGCAGCTTTGCCGGTTGAGGGAAACGCAGATGAAAGCATAGAACAATTACTCAGTGTGTGGGATTCATTCAAATTCCTGCTCCAGGTCTGCGTCTCTTTCAGCTCCCGCCCTAACGGGTCTGCACGTAGGTATCACAATGTGATCCTAAATCAGAGAGCTGAGAATGTTGCATCACATGACACTTTGGGAGGTGGAGCAGTAGAATGCGGGCAGAATAAACTCTATGGATATGTCTACACTGCCCAAAAAAGAAAAAGTGGCAGCGATTCTCAGATCCTCAGTCTCTCGACTCCGGCTCATGCTACAGCGCTAAAAGCCCCGTCCCCAGGCTTCAGAGTCCAAGCTCCAGCCTCATCTGTTTCCTTGGCTATTTTTAGGTCTGTAGCATACGCCCACGCCTGTAGACCCAGGCAGACTCTAAGACTTGCGGCTGCAGGAGTTTTTGGAGTGTAGACATAGCCAATCTGTCCCCAAGGGGGAACTCAATGCCTCTGACAATCACTCTGCTGACCGTAGGGGACTGTGATGCCCAGGGTTTGTCTAGGCTAGGAAAAGTGATGGAGGTTAAGTCAGGTCCAGGGGGAACCTGCTAGATAATGCCGGGCACTATGGGCTGTGGCTGCACTGCAGGAATCGTTATGTTTTACATCAGGAGAGCTAACCTGGTGCTCTCTAATTAAAAACCCAGTGGAGACATGGCCTAGGCAGATTATATCTCAACGTAGCTAGTCGAGGTCACCGCTATCTCCCCACACGGGGCTGATGGACATTCCCGGCAGGTGGGGGACACCATCCCCTCCACTACCAGGACAAAGGGGCTGATAGAAGGGGCCCTGGGATTCACCCCAAAGAAGGGTGAGCTGCAAACGCAAAAGTGGGGCAGCTGAGAGCGCGCGGTGACACAACGGTGCAAACAGCCTTAAAGATCTCTATGTAGGAATTAGCAAAAGCATCTTTGGCCAGCCCTAGTCAATGAGTTTACTGTCCTTTGTGGATCCTCTGGTGTCTAATAAGGTTGGAGCGGTCATTGAAGCTTTTCCCACACTTGGAGCATTTAAAGGGTCTGTCTCCTGTATGGATTGTCTCATGTCTAATAAGGTCTGAGCTCCGAGTGAAGCTTTTCCCACACTCGCAGCATTCATAGGGTCGCTCTCCCGTATGGATTCTCCAGTGTGTAATAAGACTGGAGCTCACACTGAAGCTTTTCCCGCACTCTGAGCATCTATAAGGTCTCTCCCCCATGTGGGTTCTCTGATGCGTAATAAGGTTGGAGCGGTCGTTGAAACTTTTCCCACACTTGGAGCATTTAAAGGGTCTGTCTCCCGTGTGGATTGTCTCATGTCTAATAAGGTCGGAGCTCCGAGTGAAGCTTTTCCCGCATTCTGAGCATCTATAGGGTCTCTCCCCCACGTGGGTTCTCTGATGCTGAGTAAGGTTTGAGCTGTCAGTGAAGCTTTTCCCACAGTCATGGCATTTAAAGGGTCTATTTCCTGTGTGGATTCTCCAATGTTTAATAAGGTTTGAACGCTGATTGAAGCTTTTCCCACACTCTGAGCATTTATACGGTCTATTTCCTGTGTGGATTCTCCAGTGTGTAATAAGGTTGGAGCGACTACTGAAGGTTTTCCCACACTCCGTGCAGGTGTTTTTTCTCTCTCCTGGGGGGATTCTCTGCTGGGCTGTGGTTTCCTGGAGGTCCTGGCCACTTCCCCGACCATCCCCTGGCTGATTTCTCTGCTGACTCTCATGAGCTTTTCTCCGCTCACGACTCCAGTGAATATTCCCTTCAAATCTTTCTGAAAACCTCCCGGGTGGTTCCACTAGCTCGTGATCTTTCTGCTGAGGATTCTCCTCCTTGCTCTTACTCACTGCCCCTTCGCCTGCTGGGATAGAGAGAGAGAATCCAGGCGAGAGTCAATCCAGGTGCTGGGCTGAAAGGAAACCTCAGCTAGGGGATGGGGAAAGGGGGAAACAAACGACAGTAATTGCTGGAGAGATGGGGGGGGGGAGGGACCGCAGGAGCTGAACCCCTCCCATCTTTCCCCAGAAAAGAGAGAGGAGCCCCGTTCTGCCTCCACATCCCATGCGAACACTCAGGGGCAAGGGAGACTGGGGAGGGAGCTATGCCAGATGTCAGTGAGGATGGGTGGGAAGCTGTGACCTCCTTCATGAGGACGTATCACATGCTGGGGACAACCCTGAACTTAGAGTTCACAAGGTCTTTGGAGGGAATCCCAGCTCTTTTCTTCAGACACCAAGAAGTTTTGAGTTAGTTGAAATGATTCCTACCCCTGCAGGCACCTCCCTGGATCTCTCTTTCTTCCGAGCCCTGGAGACCCAGGACCCACGGCTCTTCCCCTTGTTCCAGCTGGGAGACACCATCAGGTTTGGAAACTGGAAACCCTGCGCAGGGGAAAGAAAACAAGGGAGGGCAGGTGAATTTGTGGGACACTTGTCACAAACAACGTTGTGTGGTTTTAACCCTAGCTCATTATAAACCAGTGAAATCCCAAGTGCCCAAAGCTGCAGGACAGTGCTAATGGGGAATGTAACCATCTCCATCTCTGCTGGGAACACACACAGCCAGACACTCATCATCAAGGGGATCCTAAAACACAGAGAAGGCAACTGTATGTCCCCGAAAGCGGAGACTGCAGAGAGAGTGGCGGCCCTGGCTGCTCTTCTCACCAACAGAGGTGTCCAGTGACCAGCAGAGGCCGCAGGAAACGGGGACCATTGAGCACGCGCTGGCTGGGTTCAGCACGCGTGAGGAATGTCGTCAGCACCAAATGCAGCAGCTCAGGGTTATTAGCTGTCAAGAAAGTACATTTTGGGGAATTACGGACTCTATCGAGTTCCGTGTGATGGGGGAGAGTATGAAAATCCCCCAGGGAGGGGAGCGGGCGAGGGAATTAGAATTTGGGAGAAACAGACTGTAATTCTTCTGGAAAAGGAGAACGCAAGAAATAAGACTCAGGTCACGTGACCTAAAGAGGAACCAGCTCAAAGCTCCAGGGAGCCTGCAGGGAAGAGAGATTGTGGCTGCTGCAGACGGGGAGGGGGAAGCAAGATCCTCTGAGTTCCCAGAAGTCTTGCTACCATCCTGTGACATCACCAAGAAAGTGCCCCTTTATGCCGGGGAAGGGGTTGTCCCGTGGCAGGGATGAAATGCAGGAAGTGTCCAGGGTTTCAGTGAGTAGGGACAAGGTGGGCAGGGGGAGGAGCGAGCAGTGGAGGGAGGACAAGAGTTATAACAATATAAACATATGTAAAAAAGTGAAAGTGGACTAAAAAAAATGGAGGGTACGTTCCAAAGCAACGGGGCCTGGGCAGAGATTCTGTGTTCATGGGCTGGGACTCCCCCAACCCCAGATCCCCCCCAACCTGCCCTCCCTCCCTGGTGGCCATTAGTCTTCTTCCTCCACACTCCCCCCCCGGCCTCCTCACATCCTGGGACCACAGCACCTACTCCTCGTGTTCTCTTCCCCCGGCCCCAACCCCCTTCGCTTCCAGGTCCTCAACCGCTTTCTATCCCACCCTCCCACTATTCCAAGCCTTCCCCACTCCCACTTCCCAGGAGCTCCTGCCCCACAAAAATTCCCTTGCCTCCCACCAGCACCACCATTGCTTGCAGTACCCACCCTCCCTTTGCTCACACCACCACCAGCCTGCCAGCTCCTCAGAGCTCCTGTCCTGAATGCCTCCCATTGTCCAGCCCTCCGCGACACCGTGACTGTCCAGAGCACCTGCTCTATGGTAACCCCCTCCCCACAGTCCTCCCAGCTCCCAGGAGCTCTTCGCCCCAAACCTTCCCCTCCCCAGCCTACCAGTGCCCAGCCCCGGACCCTTCCAGAACATTGAGTTCAGCCAAGCCCGACTCGTGAAAACCAGCAAATACAGGGTTATAGTACCTGCCCACACAGCCGAACTTTGAGTGACGGCCCCGTGCACCCCTCACGCATTCTGCCTTGGCCCTCTACGGGCCAGGAGCGCCCTACACTTAGCCTGCCCCACAGGAGAGCACCACAGCTACTCAGTGATACAACTCCTTCAGCCCCTTTAGGGCCCTGGTGCGCACAATACCATTTACTTCCCCTCCATTAAACCCACACCGCACACATCTCCCCCCTAGCTGCTGAGACACCCCATGGCAAGATGGCCCCTGTGCCCTGCTAGTGACAGAGCAGTGCTGAAATCAGGCATGCTGGATCGCTCCAGGTCCACACGCACCTCTTTCCTCATATCCCACAGGTTGGGGAGAGGGACTCACACACACCCCGACCCCAGAGAGCCACAGCTCCCCAGATCACCTCATAGCTCAATCACTGTGCTGCCAAGCTCCTCCACACACCTCCACTCAGTACTGCGACACTGTATGGAACTGTGAGACATTTGATATTATTATTGATACCAATATTATAAAGTTGCAATGAATCGTGCCAGATATGCCGTGTAAGGTGTCAGTGATTTGCCAGGCAATAATGTTGTTTGTATGTTTGTATCACCTTTGTATACTGTGAGTTCTAGATATGTGTGGTACATCTGTATTTCAAAACTCATGCTGTGGTTCTGGGTGACACCCCCAGACAGATTGGCATCAGAACTAAGCCTGCTTGATGGGCCATCGAGGGACATCAGCTGTCCAATGAACCCATTAAAAAAGCCAGGGACTACACCTTATGAGTCAGCAAGACATGTAGGGGCAGAGCTATGGACAGAACTCTAAGGCTTTTCCATGCCACGTGCTGTGAAGTTTGTGTTTGGGACAAAGGAAGTACCAACCACATGGCAAAAGGAATATAAAGGGCAGCTGCATCTTCTCCATTTTGTCTTTATTTCCGCTTCTTACCTCTGGAGTAACTTTTCTACAAACGAAGCTCTGAACAAAGGACTGAATGACCCATCCAAGCTGAGGATCTGTTCCAGAGGGACTTTCAAGCCGGCAAACACACCAGTACTGGTAGGAACCTGATATATGGACCTTGTAGTCTTGTATGTATCCGATTGCTTTACCATTTAACAACTCTCTTCTTCTTTTATAATAAACCTTTAGTTTCAGACACTAAAGGACTGGCTGGCAGTGTGGTATTTTGAGTAAGATCCAAACTAATATTGGCCTGGTGACGTGGCTGACCCTTTGGGGTCAGAAGAACATTTTGTATAGTGAGCAGAGGTTTTAAATGACTTCTCACTGTACTGGACCTAGGTGCTGATGGGGAGCCAGAGAACTGGAATGCAGTGTGATTTCTTTTTTAGCTTCTAGATAACCAGCGTGGGGAATCAGGAGCAGTTTGCAACTGGTTGGTGAGTCTAACTTCAGTGTGAACCACCAGTTTTGGGAGAATCTGCTCTTGTTTTTGCAGCCTGCCCTGACCTCGGCATTTCCAGTGAGGGCTGCCCCAGGCACACCGGGTCACAAGTACAGCTACTCCTAAAGCAATGAATGCAGCTGGAGTACCGGCCGACAATAACGAAGGACCTGCCAGCTCCAGGGGCACAGAGATGGGTTGTGTGGACATTCACCCTAACTCTCCCTTTCCTGGGCTGCAGAAGTTTGAATTTGGAGGAATTCAGCATTCTGGAAGGGCGGGTGCTGTCACTGGGCCTCTGCATTAATGACGTTTTTTTCCATTTAATTTCTCCTCCAGTGTCTCTCTCCTGTCGCCCTTTCTATCTCCTTCGCCCTCTCCCCTTCCTCTGGTTGGGTGACTGGGCCACCATCTATTCCTCGGTTCCTTCACTCGCCTGCAAATGCGAACAACAGCAAATGCCATTTTGGCTCCAAACTTTCTGTCTCCGCCCCATCTCTACTAACTCTTGCGGTGGTTTCAGGCTCTCTGGCCGTGATAGGAACACAGCAGTGAAACGGTTACTGTGCACACCTGCAACCTGCCTGACTTCACAGTCGGGTTTCAGAAGGAAAAGATTATGAAATGTGGGTTTGATTGGAATTAATAGTTCCCAGGGTCAGTCTACGTATGCTATAGTAGCCAGTTGCTCATCCAAACTTGGTCCATATACAATGCAGTGCTCTCTTCCTATTCATAGCCAATAGTGATCAAAATCTGATCCAGTGTTTCTTAACTGATGGGTCATGGCCCCCAGGGGACTCAGGAAAGGCAGTCATGGGGGCCAGGAAATACGGAAAGCTTTATTAGGACCTAAATAAAGAGAATCTCATTGCCCCAGGCCCTGCACACGCTTATCCCTCAAGGTCAGGGATTCTCTGTCGGCCGGTTGAAACACACACTGTGAAGGCTTAACGCCCTTCCGTTGGTCTGTTCTTACTTTAGAGTAAACGTAAGAAAGTGGCAAAAATTCTTTACCTCAAATAAAGGATCCCCAATGTGAAGTGTGAGAAACACTGATCTCCACTAGCGAAGCCCCCTCCTCCTTCAGAGCGAGCCCCTGTACACCTCAGTGCTCTCTTCCCTTCACAGCCAGTCTGCACACAGGATAGCAGCCCCATTTCGCATTCAGGATCAGTCTAGACAAGGGTTCCAATCCCTCACTCCTGAGACTCTACTGCCACCCTGTGGCCATTTTCAGTCACCCATTGATGTCGCAGCCTCGTCTCCCCATTTCACACCACTCAGGTTCTTGTTCCTTCCCTCAAAGGGAAATGCACCCGTCAGCTCAGGATTCACTCTGACCCCCACCAGACCTCACCGCAGGAGTGACCTGGGCAGTCGCTGTCCCACCGCTTTCAGGTTTATCTCGGGCTGGAGGCAGGAAGCCCCTGCCGCTAACATGGTTCTTGGTCTGAATCCCCCCCCCATGAGAGACAGAAACGTACCTGTGTTGTTCTCCAGCTCCAGTCGCAGAGTCTCTGGGGAAGGAGAGGATGGGAGAGGTGAGAATTCAGGCCCTCGCATTCATGGGCACATTCCTATTGGTTACTAACGTACCTGCTTTTCATTATGAGATGGTGACCCAGAGCGCGGCTGATAACTCAGGCAGAGCCAGCCCCACAGGCTACTCGCATGGGGAAGGGAAACTCCCTGAGCTGGGGCTGAGACGGAGCCCAGGGTCAGCGACACACTATAGCCCCTGACTCCTCCCCAGGGCGAGGGTCCCTCTAACCAGAAGGGACATTGCTGCCAAACTCCAATTCACCTTTGAATCCCAGCAGCACCTCCTGCAGGATGGCACTTTTCAGAGAGAAATCGCTGAGTCTCTTCTCCAGCTCCGCAAACCCCGGCTCTGGCTTCTGAAACAGCCCGTCCTCCCTGCTGAGGAAAGCAGGAAGGGTGAGACATGGGTCTGATCCCCAAGCCCAGAAGCCCCCAAACTCCGGGAAACCTGAATCTGAGCTTTATCGTCAGATGTCACCTGCCCACAGCCCGGTGCTCTCCATGGGCCCAGAGAGATGGGATGTGGGGAGCCTTTGGGGCCCGGAATGGAGACAGGTTCTGGTGCCCTCTCTGGGACACGCTGGGGTGCTGAGCCACCCTCCACTCTGGGTTATTCCAGTAACAAGGGGCACCAGCATTGGGATATGTGGAAAGGGAGGAGACAGAGACCAGAGAGTGGGCGTGTCCCATGTGCTCACAGTGGCCACAGACAGAGCCCAGGTCTTCCCCGGGGATTAAACCTGGACCATTTAATGCCCAAAGCCCTGAGAACTTCAGCTAAAGCAGTGACCCCCGGGGTGTCAGCCCCATTGGTGGAGAGGCCTGTATCCCTTATCATTGTCCTTAGGCTAGGGCATAAACTGGGGACACCCAGGCACAAAGATCCAGGGAGGGAATCTGCCCTTTATATAGAAAGCTTTTAATTACTGTTATTTATAAAGTACTTCATTGTCACAACTTTTTTCACTCACTGGGAAAACAGCCACTTCTCTATTTCTACCCTGTTTCCCTGCCTTCCCCCTGCCCCTCTCTCTCTCATCCGTGTCTGTGTGTCTGTCCTCTGTTCTTCCCTCCCTACAGCAACTCCCTATTCCTACCACTCAAGGGCTTCACTCCTGTCCCCTCCCCATCCCACCTGCTACAGAGCTCAGCAATGGACATTCAAGTGACATCATTTCAGCTGACACACCAATGAGATTCCCAGGGGAGTTCACACATCTCTGAGCCAGGTTTCAGGCTGTTTCACAGACTCAGGCCTGGGCTGCACTAGAATATTGGGTTGTCTTAACTACATTGCTCAGGGGTGTGAAAAATCCACACCTCTGAGCAGCGTAGCTAAGCCGTGAGTGGCCCGGCAGACAGTGCTAGGTCGAACGAGGGTCTTCCATCGACCTAGCTCCTGCCTGTGGGGAGGTGGATCACCTACACCAATGGGACGACCCCTCCCGTCGCCATCGGGAGCGTCTCCACTGAAACGCTGTAGACAGGCCCTCAGGAAGGCACCATCGCCTCCCTTTGCATTTCAGAAGGTTTCTTTGCAACCGCGAAGGCTAGAAACCTAAGCTGAGATTCTGCACACTGTGAACACGTGATGTGGCCACATAAACACGTCAGCCAGGCTGGGTCCGGCCCACAGGCCCTATGTTTGCCAGCCCCCATTAGCTGTCAGATAGTAAGAGGCTCTTCTCCTTCCTGAGGCAGCCACTAAGGAAAGACGTGATCTCAGGCACTCAGCCAGCGGGTCACAGCGGGGGAAGCGCCGCAGTCAGGAGAATTCCAATTCTAAACCATCGCTTTCCACACGAACGGTGCCATGGAGCCCAGGACGTACCTGCTCTCAGTGCGTCCAGCACCCTGCACAGGGGGAGAAAGGAGAGGCAGTCAGTGGGCCTGTCCCAGGCTGGGGTGGCCTCCTGCTCTGCAGGGGAGTCACCACTGGAGCCGCGGGTATTTGGGGAATTTCAGACACTTGGGTTCACGTTCAGAGAACAGCTGCCATCTCCCTTCCCCACTGCTGGGACATCTGCCCTCAGCAACTCCAGGAGTCCCTGCTAGGTCGCCATCGGGGAAAGTCTCTCCCCAGGCACTTGACAGGAAGAGAATATTCCCCCTAGTGCTGAGAGTTCCCCCAAGTCCCCTCACACCACTGAACCCACTAGCCTGGGACGACATGGGACCTTGGGCCTGGTGGGGGGAGGGTGGGCTGGGAATTTCACCCTCAAAGTGCAAACGCAAATAGACATTTACAGGGCAGGAGAGACGGTCTTGGGGTTACAGCACCCAGGACTCCCAGGTCCCAGCCCTGGCTCTGCCACAGACTCACTGTGTGACTGTGGGCAGGACTGTGCTCCGTCCTGTGCCTCACTTTCCCCTTTGTACAATAGGGATAATGTCCCTGACCCACCTTGTGAGGGGCGTTGGGGTCTAGGGCTGAGAAGCAGCGTATTAGCACTGCCATAAGCCAGTCTGACCTGTGGGGACTGGCTCCCTGCCTGCTGCTGCCCCTCCTCTCCGAGCAGGGAAATCTCCCCGGACGGTCTGGAGACGCCCTCGTCCCGTCTCCTGACGATGGCTCTGGCTAGCTCTTCCAGCTGGGACAGCAGGAGCTGCTCCTGCTCCTCCAGAAACCCTCGCAGCTCCTTCCACTCCGCAACGATCTTCTGCCTCTCGGCTTCCGTCTGTTTCTGCAACCCAGGGAGAGGGCGGCTCGGTAACGGGAGAATCAGACCTGTGCTCCCCAGCAGATGGGGGTTATTTACCAGAACACAGCGTTGATGCGGCGGGTGATGGGAGCTCAGTTAGGCCAGGAAGGGTGCAGGAAGGAGGGTGGGGTGAGCTGCACATGGCTAATGGGGGGGGGGGGCTTTCCCCCCAAAAAACTCATCAAATTGCACGCAACGAAACTCTTCATCTGCCCACCCACATTTCCTCCCCCCCCCCCCCCCCACATCTCCCCTAGGTGCTAGAAAGAAACCCTGGTCACTATAATATCTGAGCAGCCCTTGGGCAGGGTCTCTCCAGGCCACAGACCGACACTGTCCTGCACAGCAGCCTCTTGGACCCTAAACACATCATGTTGCCCCCAGGTCTGACCCTGCCTCTCCCTGGGCTCCAGTGGGGATGTTTCCTGGCTGAGGCTGGCAGGACGGGCCCTGCGTTTGGTATCACTCAGGACACTCTGATCCCAGGCAAACCTGAGGGGCAGGGGGCTCTGGGCACCTACCAGCAGCTCTGCACTTTGCCGCTCCCCCTCGGCTTTTCGCTCACAGGCCAGATGCTCTCCCGGTGCCTCCTGGAAGAAGCAGGGGCAGGGATGTTACAAACTGCTCGAAAGAGCCTCACAGCTTCCAGATTTCAGGGCCCAATCCTGCCCTGCACATCCCTGTACAGAGCCCCTGGGAAGATATCACGGGGGCAGTGAAAGCAGGACCAGGTTTTCCAAGGAAGACACAGGACACCCTGGTGAAGTGACAGGGCTGCAGCCCAAACCAAACAACCAACTTCAGACATTTCCCCAACTTCCCCAGCTCCAACCCCAACATACCCAAAGTGCCGGATCTGAACATGGACCCTCTCAAACCCAATATCCCCCCAAACCACCCCCCCAATACCCCAGCTGTGACCCTTGCATACACACTGGCACACCCCCAAGCCCCAGCTTTAAACCTCCCCCACATCTACAGACCCCTCAGACCAACACATCCCAAAGTCTGGCTCTGACTTCCCCACTGACACACCCCAGAGCCCAGCTCCAAACAGCCCCCCAAACCCAAGAAGCCCCACGATCCCTGGCTCCAGCCGTTCCTTCTACATAAGAACATTAAAGGGCCATACTGGGTCAGACCAATGGTCCACCTAGCCCAGTGTCCTGCCTCTGACAGTGGCCGGTGTCAGATGCTTCACAGGGAATGAACAGAACAGGGCGATTAGCACAAGATCCGCTCCCTGTCATCCAGTCCCAGCTTCTGGCAGAGTTTAGGGACACCTGGAGCTTGTAGGGGGATGGGGGAGGAGAGGTGTCATAGACTCATAGAATATCAGGGATGGAAGAGACCTCAGCAGGTCATCTAGTCCAACCCCCTGCTCAAAGTAGGACCAACCCCAACTAAATCATCCCAGCCAGGGCTTTGTCAAGTTGGGCCTTAAAAACCTCTAAGGAAGGAGATTCCACCACCTCCCCAGGTAACCCATTCCAGTGCTTCACCACCCTCCTAGTGAAATAATGTTTCCTAATATCCAACCTAGACCTCCCCCACTGCAACTTGAGACCATTACTCCTCGTTCTGTCATCTGGTACCACTGAGAACAGTCTAGATCCATCCCCTTTGGAACCCCCTTTCAGGTAGTTGAAAGCAGCTATCAAATCCCCCCTCACTCTTCTCTTCTGCAGACTAAATAATCCCAGTTCCCTCAGCCTCTCCTCGTAAGTCATGTGTCCCAGCTCCCTGATCATTTTTGTTGCCCTCCGCTGGACTCTCTCCAATTTGTCCACATCCTTCTTGTAGTGTGGGGCGCAGAACTGGACGCAATACTCCAGAGGTGGCCTCACCAGTGCCAAATAGAAGGTAATAATCACTTCCCACGATCTGCTGGCAATGCTCCTACTAATGCAGCCAAATATCCGGTTAGCCTTCTTGGCAACAAAGGCACACTTCTGACTCATATCCAGCTTCTCATTCCCAGGTCCTTTTCTGCAGAACTGCTGCCTAGCCACTCGGTCCCCAGCCTGTAGCAGTGCATGGGATTCTTCCGTCCTAAGTGCAGGACTCTGCACTTGTCCTTGTTGAACCTCATCAGATTTCTTTTGGCCCAATCCTCCAATTTGTCTAGGTCCCTCTGTATCCGATCCCTACCCTCCAGCATATCTACCACTCCTCCCAGTTTAGTGTCATCCGTGAACTTGCTGAGAGTGCAGTCCATGCCATCCTCCAGATCACTAATGAAGATGTTGAACAAAACCGGCCCCAGGACCGACCCTTGGGGCACTCCGCTTGATACCAGCTGCCAACTAGACATGGAGCCATTGATCACTACCCGTTGAGCCCGACGATCTAGCCAGCTTTCTATCCACCTTACAGTCCATTCATCCAGCCCATACTTCTTTAACTTGTCGGCAAGAATACTGTGGAGCCCGTGTCAAGAGCTTTGCTAAAGTCAAGCTAGTCTAGGGTGACCAGACAACAAGTGTGAAAACTCAGGAGAGGGGATGGGGGGTAATAGGCACCTATATAAGACAAAGCCCCCAAAAGCGGGACTGTCCCTACAGAATCGGGACATCTGGTCACCCCAAGCTAGTCCCGGACTCTCCTGGCTCAGAGCCGCTCACCAGCCGGCTCTGCAGCGCTCCCGGTGCGGGCGCAGCCCGGGTTTGGTGGCTCATTCCCCGGGGCTTCCCCGGCTGCGGGGCGCGCGGAGCAGGTGTGTCCCCAGAGCCGCCCCGGTCCCCGCTCCGACCCCCGGCTCCGCCCCGCCTGGACCCCCCATGGACCCCCCCCCCCGGGCCGTGTCCCGGCCGCGCGGCCCCGCCCACCTCGCCGCCCCGCTGCCGGCGGGGCCGGAGCAGCCGCCGCGCTGGGCCCCCGGCCCCGGCCATGGCTCCTCGGCTGGACAAAGGGCTGCGGGCGGGGCGGGGCGGGGGGCGGCGCCGCCCCGGATTGGCCGGGCGGCGGGTGGGGCCCGCGCAGGGGGGTTCGTGACGCTCGGGGACTCGAGCTCCCGAGAGAGGAGCCCGGAGCCCAGGCTCGGCGGGGGGGAGCTCGGGGGGGTCTCGGGCCGGGTCCCGCTGGGGAAAGTCCCCGCGCTGCAGCCCGGCTGGGGGTCCGGGGCCGGAGCCGAGGGGAGCGGCTGGGGCTGGGGGAAGATGGAGCAGAGCCGGAGCAGCGGTTACAAGGTGGTTTGGCTGCTGATCTCTGTGTCTGTGGCCATCGATGCCCGCGGGAGGATAAACTACAGCGACGCTACTGCGCTCCGCTCCAGCCTGGATTGCAGGTGAGCAATCGAAGAAAACTGTTTCTTTCCTACCAGAGCACAGAGTCAGCGAAACCAAGGCCAGAAAGGGATCATCTAGTCTGACCCCCTGCATAACACAGCCCGGAGAACTGCCCCCAAATAATTCCTAGGGCTCTGTTAGTAAAACAGCCACTACTGATTTAAAACTGGTCAGTAACAGCGAATTCACCACCCTCCTTGGTCAATGGTTCATTATCCTCATTGTTAGCAATGTGCGCCTTATTCCAGGCTGGATTTGTCCCGCTTCAACTTCCAGCCATTGGATCGGGTCACACCTGTCTCTGCGACAACAAAGAGCCCATTATTAAATATTTGTTCCCCATATAGATACTTATAGACTGTGATCAAATCAGCCCATAACCTTGCCTTTGTTAACCTAAGTAGATTGAGCTCTCCATGTCTATCCTACAAGGTATGTTTTCTAATCCTGTATTCATTCTCGTGGTTCTTCTCTGAGCCCTCTCCAATTTATCAACGTCCTTCTGGAATTGTGGGCACTAGAACTGGACACAGGGTTCCAGCAGCGATCGCACCATTGTCAAATACAGAGGTAAAATAACCTCTCTACTCCCACTCAAGATTCCCCTATTTATGTCTCCCAGGATCGCATTAGTTCTTTTGGCCACAGCATCATGTTGGAAGCCCATGATCAGCTGATTATCTACCATGACCCCCAAATCTTTTTCAGAGTCATTGCTTCCCAGGATAGAACCCCCCATCCACCAGTAACCTGCCCTCTCCATTATTTACCACTCCTCGAAGTTTGCAGATGACATAAAAATTGATCCGTGATAATTTTATGTTTTCTTCCAGGTCATTGATAAAAATGTTAAATAGCATATGCCTAGGGCCAAGAACCAATTCCTGCAGGACCCCACAGAAACTGACCCACTTGACAATGATTCTTTGTTTACAGTTACATTTTGAGACCATAACATAAGAACATAAGAACGGCCGTATCGGGTCAGACCAAAGGTCCATCTAGTCCAGTATCCTGTCTTCCGACAGTGGCCAATGCCAGGTGCCCTAGAGGGAGTGAACCTAACAGGCAATGATCAAGTGATCTCTCTCCTGCCATCCATCTCCACCCTCTGACAGACAGAGGCTAGGGACACCATTCCTTACCCATCCTGGCTAATAGCCATTAATGGACTTAACCACCATGAATTTATCCAGTTCTCTTTTAAACTCTGTTAATTTTATATTGTTCTAGTTTTTTAATCAAAATGTTGAGCGGTACCAAGTCCAACACCTTTCAGAAGTCTAAGTGTATTGCATCAATGCTATTACCTTTTATCAACCAAATTTGTAATCTCATAAAAAAGATATCAAGTTATTCTGACAGGATCTATTTCCATAAATCCATATTGATTTGCATTAGTTACATTACTCTCCTTTAATTCTCTATTAATTCAGTCCAAGAGCAGCCACTCCATTATCTTGCCCAGGATCGATGTTAGATTGACAAGCCTGTAATTACCTGGGTTGTCCTGTTTATTATTTTTAAAAATTGGGACAATGTTAGCTTTCTTCTAGTCTTCTGGGACTTACCCCGTGTTGGAAGACTTATTGAAAATCAATGTTAATGGTCCTGCGAGTTCCTTTTAAAACTCTAGGATACAAGTTATCTGGACCTTAGAAAAATAAACCATAAAAATGTCTAACTTCAGTAGTTTCTGTTCTCCAGCAACACTAGTAGAATGGAAAGAGTGTTATTACCATATGATGAGACTATATCTGTTTGTTCCCCAAATACAGAACAGAAATATTTATTGAACACTTCTGCATTACTATTCATAATTCTACCATCTCCATCCAGTAATAGACCAATACCACTGTCATGGGATTCTTTTTCTTCCAATTATATTTTAAAAATCCTTCTTCTTGTGCTCAACTCTGCTGGCCATACATTTCTCCTTGTGTTCTTTGTTTCCCTTGTCCATTTTATACCTTTCCTAAATTCTGGTTTATATTATTTACTATCAATTTCCCTTTCTTCCATTTGTTATATATTTTTTAAAGTTTTTTAAAGCGGCCTTCACTTTTCCTCTACACCAGGTCATTTTTTTAACCAGCACAGCCTTCTTCCTTGATTGTGGCTTTTGCGGTATCTGAAATAATTCTGTGACACTGTGTTACCTCAAAGTAAGTACCCTGGAACCCGCATATTCACTGCTGTCATATAATTATGATATGTTTTGTACAAAGTATACCCTGTAGGGTATCATTTTAAAAGTCTTGATCATAGAAGATTAGGGTTGGAAGAGACCTCAGGAGGTCATCTAGTCCAACCCCCTGCTCAAAGCAGGACCAACACCAACTAAATCATTCCAGCCAGGGTTTTGTCAAGCTGGGCCTTAAAAACCTCTAAGGATGGAGATTCCACCATCTCCTTAGGTAACCCATTCCAGTGCTTCACCACCCTCCTACTGAAATCGTTTTTCTTAATATCCAATCTAGACCTCCCCCACTGCAACTTGAGACCATTGCTCCTTGTTTTGTCATCTGCCACCACTGAGAACAGCCGAGCTCCATCCTCTTTCGAACCCTCCTTCAGGTAGTTGAAGGCTGCTATCAAATCCCCCCTCACTCTTCTCTTCTGCAGACTAAATAAAAAACGGTTACTTACCTCTCGTAATTCTTGTTCTTCGAGATGTGTTGCTCATGTCCATTCCAATAGGTGTGTGCGCACACCATCTACACGATCGCCGGAAAGCTTTTCCCCTAGTGGTACCCGTCGGGTCGGCTGCGGAGGCCCCTGGAGTGGCACCTTTATGGTGGTGTATATATATCCCTGCTGATCTGCCGCCTGCTCAGTTCCTTCTTGCTGGAATACTCCGACAGTGGGGAGGTGGGCGGGATTTGGAATGGATATGAGCAACACATCTCGAAGAACAACAGTTACGAGAGGTAAGTAACCGTTTCTTCTTCTTCGAGTGATTGATCATCTACATTCCAATCGGTGACTTCCAAGCAGTTACCCTGGGGGAGGGGTCGGAGTTCACCTGATGGCTGAGTGCAGGACTGCCCTACCCAAACCAGCATCATCCCTCGCCTGCTGGGTGATGGCGTAGTGTGACGTGAAGGTGTGGACTGAAGACCAGGTTGCCGCTTGCAGATATCCTGGATAGGGACCTGCGCCAGGAATGCCGCGGACGCCGCTTGCGCTCTGGCAGAGTGCGCCGTAAGCAGAGGGGCTGCCGCTTTAGCCAGGTCATAGCAAATCCTGATACAGGACGTGATCCATGTTGAGATGCGCTGTGATGAGATCAGGAGCCGCCTCATTCTTTCTGTGATGGCAATAAAGAGCTGTGGTGATTTTCGTGCGTTAAATGTAAAATGCCAAGGCACGTCTAACTTCCAAGGAATGGAACATGCGCTCCCTGTTAGTGGCATGGGGTTTAGGAAAGAACACAGGTAAAAATATATCTTGGTTCACATGAAACTGGGATACAGCCTTAGGCAGGAACGCAGGGTGAGGGCGTAGCTGCTCCTTGTCCTTATAAAATACCGTATAAGGAGGTTCGGAGGTCAGTGCTCTGAGCTCGGATACCCTTCTAGTGGAGGTTATAGCCACCAGAAAGGCCACCTTCCAGGAGAGGTAGGACAGAGGACAGGTAGCCATGGGCTCAAAAGGGGGCCTCCATGAGTGAGGACAGGACCAGGTTGAGGTCCCACTGGGGAACGGGCCGACGTAAAGTCTGTCCAAGCCCTTAAGAAACGTGCCCACCATGGGGTTACCGAACACTGACCCACCCGCCGTTCCCGGGTGAAAGGCCGAAATGGCCGCAAGGTGTACCCACAGGGATGATACTGCTAACCTTTGGTGCTTGAGATATAAAAGTCCAAAATAAGGGGAATTGGGGCTGATTGTGGCTCATTTCCCCTTTGTCAAGGACAAATGGAGAAACGCTTCCACTTAGCCAGGTACGTGGCTCGAGTGGAGGGTTTCCTACTTCCTAACAGGACCTCCCTCACTGGGTCCGAGCACTGAAGCTCAAGAGGGTTCAGCCATGGAGTTTCCACGCCATGAGGTGGAGGGACTCCAGGTTGGGGTGTTGCAGACAGCCATGGTCCTGTGTGATTAGGGTGGGACAGAGAGGGAGCGCCACTGGTCTGTCCACTGAGAGGTTCAGGAACATGGTGAACCAGTGCTGGCGAGGCCATGCTGGCACTATGAGGATCAAAGAAGCCCCATCCTGACGAGTCTTGAGGCGCACTCTGTGTATGAGAGGGAAGGGTGGGAACGCATACAGCAGGTGATCCGTCCATGACAAGTGAAAGGCGTCTGCGGTGGAGCCTGGGCTGTGGTTCAGGAAGGAGCAGAACCTCTGGCACTTCCAGTTGCTCCGTGTCACGAACAGGTCCATGTGGGGAGAGCCCCACCTCTGGAAAATCGAGTGAGCGATGTCTGGTCTGAGGGACCATTCTTGTCCATGGAACGAGTGACTGAGGTGGTCTGCCAGCTTGTTCTGTGCCCCTGGAAGGTGCGACACCTGTAGGTGTATAGAGTGGGTGATGCAAAAGTCCCACAGCACGAGGGCTTCCCGACACAGGGGAGAGGAGCGAGCGCCCCCATTTGTTTATATAGAAC